TATTGGTCACGGGGCTTGAAATCTGGGCCTGGGTGCTGTCCCTGAGCTCTTCAGCTCAACACAAGCAAGTGCGACAGCTCTACCATTTGAGCCACAGTTCCACCTCTAGTTTTCTGGTGGTTAATTGGAGGTAAGAGTCTCATGGACTTTTTCCTTGCCTGGGCTGGCTTTGAACCATGATCCTCAGAACTTAGCCTCCTGAGTAGCTAGAATTACAGGCATGACGGCTCACAAGGGCATTCTTTTTTTTTTTTTTTTTTTTGTCAGTCATGGGGACTGAACTCTGGGCCTGGACCCTTATCCTCAACTCTTCAGCTGAAGGTTAGAGCTCTACTACAGTGCCACTTCTGGCCTTTTCTGTTTATGTGGCGCTGAGAAATGGAACCCAGGGCCTCATGCATGCAAGGCAAGCACTCTGCCACTGAGCCACCTTCCCAGGCCTACCAGGGCATTCTTTACTGCCTTTATTTGGCTTCTGGATACTCTGTGGTGGGTTGAAAAGACAACAAACCTCCTCAGCTGTTCCCTACATCCCAGCCCTTACAGTGGACCTTCCCCTGTCCCCCTCATTCTTTCCTGGCCTCTGGTTTATCTCTGTTATGACTCATTTTCTCCTCTCTGACTCATCTTCCATTAGACTCTTTATCTTTCATTCTGGATATTTTCTCTGACTAATCTCTAAATTTACAAATTCCCTTTTCATCAGTGTTGAATCTTCAACCAAACCCAATCCATTGGGTTTCAACCTTTCAGTTATGTTCTTGACAATAATAAACATTTCAGTCACTCTAATATTTGCAGTTCTGTGACTCCTTTTCCTTTACTGTTTTTAATTTTTTTTTTTTTTTTTTGGTCTGGTAGTGGGGCCTGAACTCTGGGCCTGGGCGCTATCCCTCAGCTCTTCAGCTCAAGGCTAGCGCTCTACGACTTGAGCCACAGCGCCACTTCCGGTATTTTTCTTTTTGATTATGTGGTGCTGAGGAATCGAACCCAGGGCCTCAGGCATGCAAGGCAAGCACTCTGCCACTGAGCCACCTTCCCAGCCCTCCTTTACTGTTTTTGCTGTGATGTTTTTCATATTAATTATATGGTATTTTTGTATATATATATATATATATATATATTTTTTTTTTTTTTTTGGTGCCACTATTGGGGCATGAACTCAGCACCTATACGTCTTGGTTAGCTTTTTTCACTCAAGGCTGGTGCTCTACTACTTGAACCATAGCTCTGCTTTTTTTTTTGGCGGGGGAGGATCAGTTGAAGATAAGAATCCCATTCCGACTAGGCTGGCTTCAAGCTGTGATCCTCAGATCTTAGCCTCTTGACTAGCTAGGATTACAGGCATGAGCCACCAGCGCTATGCCATATTTCTCCATGAAAATAATTATAAGTCTAGGATGATAGTCCTTTTCCAGAGAGTTGTTTTGGGCAAGTCTAGGATGATAGTCCTTTTCCAGAGAGTTGTTTTGGGCTGACTATCTGGAAGCCTTGGTACAAGGCTTGGTACAATTGTTAATACAATTTCAGAGTTAACTGGGTTAAAGTCAAGTTGCAATCTTAGTAGGGCAGTGTCCACACAAAGCCAGTTAAGGGCTTGTCAACTCTGTCACCATTACCTTTATTGTGAATGCTTTATCAGCGGCCCTCTGCTTTAGTAGCTTCTGAACAGCAGTGTTGTGTTAACTCTTTGCATTCTCTTGGCTAATCTCTCAGGAAATGCTTGGCCTGCTAAGTATGCTTACATCTCTCAGTTACTTTTTTTTCTCAGAACCAGGTTCAGTTATTCTTCACAACCTTATTAGTTATCTAATAGTGCCAAGCAGGTATGTGTATATGTGTGTGAATATGTGTGTATATGTTTGTGTTTCCCCCAGTTTTCTCTCAGTGGGAAGGTTGCTCAGAATTATCTGCTCACCAAGAGTGGAAAGCAAAACACCCTCCCTTCATCATTTCCACTTTCCTACATAAAAAACACTCTAATAACTCCAGTCTTCAAAGAAATAAAATCACAGTGGAAATGCTAACAGGATGACAATTAGTTGACCAAAGACTGAAATAATGAAGGAAATTACCATCTAAGAGAGCTCTCAGAAATATAACTAGAATGTAAGTGTAATATAGTTGAATAATATTAGTAAGAAAACATCCTTCCAGGAATTTAGAGGATTCAAGTGTTGCTTATAGTAATTTTTACTAGCTAGTCATTATTCTAGGAGAGAATGGAAGTCTCTTGAATTGTAGGGTATTTGTTCTCAGTTGTCAGCATGGCCAACCTGCTGAATGATTGATCTCAGATCAGAGGGGAGCACCACTAGCTTATGAAGGGAAAGATACCATTTGAAATAGCTCAGGGCTAGCACTCTACCACTTCAGCTACAACACCACTTCTGGCTTTTTCTGCTTATGTGGTGCTGAGGAATTGAACCCAGGGCCTCACAAATGCAAAGCAAGCACTCAACCACTGAGGCACATTCCCAGCCCCTATTTGAAATTCTTGTATCAGGGCTTTCTAAAGTGAGTGAAGGCCAACTTTGTTGCATTTAAAATACATACATACGTGTGTGTGTGTGTGTGTGTGTGTGTGTGTGGCTGGGAAGGTGGCTCAGTGGTAGAGTGTTTGCCTTGCATGCATGAGGCCCTGGGCTCGATTCCTTAGCACCACATAAATAGAAAAAGCCGGAAATGGTCCTGTGGCTCAAGTGGTAGAGCACTAACCTTGAGCTGAAGAGCTGAGGGACAGTGCCCAGGCCCAGAGTTCAGGCCCCATGACTGACCAAAACACACACACACACACACACACACACACACACACTATTGGTACTGGGGAACTAAGCAAGTGCTCTATTTGAATGCCTCCACTAAAATTTTCTGTAAGTTTTTCTTTGATTAGATTATAACAGTATGGATTAGGTTCCTGTTGATTAGGTTTAAAATATACTTTACAAATACACTTTAATCTTCTCCCTAGGTCAGCTTGATTACATTCTTTTTTTGAGGTGGGGGTGGTCCGGTTGTGGGGCCTGTACTCTGGGGGCACAGTCACCCAACAGCTGCCTACCCAGTCTCCTGTACCCACACAGTCCAGCCTGTGAGAACCAGGCCCCTCCTCAATACCCACCGGGATGCCCGTCCCCTCCCCAGCCACCCGGCCACCTGCCCTCATGCAGGTCAGCAGCCACTGTTTCTCCACCCTTGAATATTCTTTGAAATACTTTTTTTTTGGGGGGAGAGGGGGGTCTGGTCGTAGGGCATGAACTCTGGGCCTGGGCGTTGTCCCTCAGCTCTTCAGCTCAAGGCTAGTGCTCTACCACTTGAGCCACAGCGCCACTTCGGCTTTTTTCTTTTTGCTTATGTGGTGCTGAGGAATCGAACCCAGGGCCTCATGCATGCAAGGCAAGCGCTCTACCACTGAGCCACCTTTCCAGCCCCTTCCTCAATCATGGGGCTTGAACTCAGGGCCTGGGCCGGGTTCCTGAATTCTTTTTTTTTTTTTTGTCGGTTGTGGGCCTGGGCTTTGTCTCTCAGATCTTCAGCTCAAGAGCCGCAGCGCCACTTCCGGTTTTCTGGTGGTTTATTGGAGATAAGAGTCTCACGGACTTTCCTGCCTGGGCTAGCTTTGAACTGTGATTCTCAGATCTCAGTCTCCTGAGTAGCTAGGATTACAGGCGTGAGACACTGGTGCCGGGCTCTGAATTCTTTTGCTCCAGCCTAGTATTCACTTTGAGCCACAGCTCCACAGTTTTCTGGTCCTTAGTTGGCGGATAAGAGTCTCTTGGACTTTCCTGCTGCTTTCCCGAGCTGGCTTTCATTGTTGTTGTTGATGGGGCTTGACCCTGGGCCTGGGCTCTCCCTCTGCTCTTCAGCTCATGAGCCACAGTGCCCCTTCCGGTTTTCTGGTGGTTTATTGTAGATAAGAGTCTCATGAACTTTCTTCCAGGGCTGGCTTGGAACCCAGATCCTCAGAACTCAGCCTCCTGAGTAGCTAGGATTATAGGCATGAGCCACGGGCGGGCACCTGGCTTGGTTTCTCTCCTTTCTTTCCTTCTTTCTTCTCTCTCTCTGTCTCTCTCCTTCCTTCCTTCCTTCCCTCTCTCCCTCTCTCTAACGCTTTCTTTTTCTTTTCTTCTTTTTGTACAGACACTGGGGCTCGAACTGAAGGTCTTTTCCCCGTTTGGCTTATTTTTTTTCCACTTCCTTTTTATTTTTAAATTTTAGATGGTACAGGGTTTGAACTTGGGTCCTTGTTAGGCAGGTGATGTACCTCTGAGCCACCCCTCGGGCACACAGAATGTAACATTTACTGTGTGAAAGTAACCTCCTGGGACGCGTTACTGTTACTATGTGAAGGGAACCCAGTGGCTCGCGCAAGGTAACAGTAAAGAACCAGGGGCGTCACCGCGTTACTTTGTTGCAGATCTGACAACCCGCTCACCAGTCCCGGCAGTGTACAGAACGCGCATCCCAAGTTTTCATTACTTGTGTGGGATTCCCTTCATCCTCGGGGACATTCCGCCCCAAGAAATGTGCATCCCTTTTTATTTTGCAAATGGGGAAACGGAGGCAGGAAGATTAAAAATCAGTGAGGCTGTGATAACCTGGGGGTGTGTGGGGGGAACGCAGGTGCAGACGCCCTGGGCCCGGGGCGGGGCGGGGTGGGGGGGGCCCGGTGGGGCCCCTCTCCCCAACCCCCCGACCCCGAGCGTCGGGCGCGCGCGCACAGGTGCAGCCCACGGACCCCTCCCCGCCCCCCGCCTGCCCGTCCGCGGCGGCGCGCGCTCTCGCCCAGCAGCAGGCGGGCACGCCGGCGCGCGCGGCGATGGTGTTTGCCTGCGAGTTCCCCAAGTTCACGCAGGCCCTGGGTTGGCATGGCAACCAGGCAACCTGTTCCAGAGCTGCCTGCCTTCGTACACGCCGCCGCCGCCGCTGCCGCTGCCGCCGCCGCCGCCACTGCCGCCGCCGCCGCCGCCGCCGCCGCCGCCGCTGCCACCGCCGGAGCCGGGGCCAGAGCCTATCCCATGATGCACCGCGCCAGCCCTGTCCCCAGTGGGCCGCCATGTTGTCGGAGTGAAAGGTAAGGGGGAGCGAGAGCGCTGGAGAGAGAAGATCGGGGGGCTGAAATCCATCTTCATCCTACCGCTCCGCCCGTGAGTATCCGCACCCCACCGGTCCCAAACGATGCTCTGGACCCCTAGCGAGCAGATTCTCCCTTCGTATTGGCGTTTGAGGGCGGCTGGGGGGGCGAGAAGGGTTCTGGAAAAGCCGCCGGGGCCCTGGCCGAGGCTCCTCACTCGCTGCTCCGGGTACATGTTTGGGAGTCAGCGGCAAGGCCCCTATTGTTATAGAGGAGGGAGGGGGTGGGGAGCGGGGTCGACGCCAGGCGAGCGCCGGGGCTGCAGGCCCGGGGCCAGGGCCTAGAGGCGGCTCTGTGTCGGTGCTCGGCCCTCCGGGGAGTCCCCGGAGGTCTGGTGTTGCCATTCGGGTCGCTTTTTATTTTCAAATTAAAGAGGAATTACAAAAAAAAAAAAAAGAATCTTGGTGGGCTGGCGGAGCCCGGAGTCGTCTCGAGTGTGGTCACGAAGTGTAATTCTCTGCCACCCCGGATTTCTTGGACTTCTGGAGCGTTTGTGGCAGCGCCTGTTGGAGGAGGAACAATACATGGGTGTAGAAGCCGGCCGTGGCCCCGGTCCCCGGGCCAGAGCCGCCGCGGGGGGAACTTTGCAAGCCTTCGATGTGCAGGAGCGGTGATCGGGGAAGTTTCAGATCGCTCTGGGGGCTCCCGTGTGCTTTCTGGCCTTTTGTTTGCGGGAGAGCTTGTGTTCCTTCCCCCCCCCCCCTTTTTTTCTTTCTGGTGGGTTCTTTTTGAGCCTCCCTTGTGTTGCGGTGACTCCTCACTCAGGGTTTCACCCCTCTGGAGTGGGAAAAACATCTAGGTGCACAATGCTAGGTAGTTTTCTTCCTCACGAACGTGCTTGGTAAACACACAGGTCATTTGTTTGACTTGTCAGTACCACTCCCACGGCCCGCGAGGAATACTCGCTCGTAACTTTTCTCCACTATAGTTCACCGCCTCCCCCCCCCTTACTCCTTCCTTCCCCTCCCCCACCCCACAACAAAAACCGAACCTAGCCAGGGAACCCACACTCAAATGACCAGAGAAGGCTTTTCCTTCATCATAACTTTGAAAAATTAGTCCCTTCATTGTTCAATTAAAATAACACTGTTCTTGCTCACTTGGAATTATTACTGGGGTTATTATACGACTTCATGAGGTTATTATACGACTTCTTCCTTCCTTCCTTCCTTCCTTCCTTCCTTTCTTTCTTTTTCTTTCTTGTAGGGGAAGGGATTCTGTTTTAAAGTAAGTTACTTCTGAGACCATAGTTTCCTAGGTTTAACTTTTATTTTCTTAGAGATACTAAACCAACCATCGAGACAATCCTCCAAAATAGGTGGCTTCCTATATACAGTTTTAGTAAACAAACATTTTGGTCCCTTGCTAATTTTAACTTTGTAAAACATTAGAGGCTGTTGATTCTTTTATCTAGATCTTTTGGGAATACTGGATTCTGAACCTTAAATTAGTATCTTGTCTTTAACGTGGTTGAGTTCATTTTCTCCGAGGCTGTAACTTTTTGAAGTTGGAATTTGTTTTGTTTGGGTTTAAGATGAACTGTTTTAGGATAGATTTATGATCACAGAGGGTTCATGTGGTAAAAGAAAACAACACCATCTTTTTAGCCACTAAGCATTTTAGTAAAAAGAGATACAAGAAATCATTCTCTTTTGTTTGAAGTATTTACCCTCTTATTAGTGATATGTATATATATATAAAAGCAAACCAAACTACACCTTGTAAACAGTTTGAAAATTGTGGAAGAGTAGTTAGAATTGGCACTTAATTGTATACAGTTGCCAGGACCCTGTCGTTCACACCTGTAATCCTATCTACTCAAGAGACTGAGATCTGAGGATCATGGGTTTAAAGCCTGCAGAGGCTGGAAATTCCTGAGACTCTTCAGTTAACCACCCAAAAGTGAAAAGTGGAGCTGTGGCATGAGCCTTGATCAGAAAAGCTCAGAGACAGTGCCCAGGCTCTGAGTTCAAGCCCCAGAACCAACACACATGCACACAAAATTGTAGACAGTTGATTAAGATACTTTTATAAAGTGTCATTTGTGAAAAAATTACATTTCAAATGCCGTATCTCACTTGGGGAGCTCAGCAATTTAAATGTTTTCTGATTTTTTTAAGTTGATTCCATTGTTGCCAAAGTATTGCAAAATTACCAAGATACATGTTAATTGCTTAGGCATTTGCTCACTTTCAGATTGTCCCTTTTGCTACGTTTACATTAGTTGGAGAAACTGTCTGGCCTCATTAGGTAAAGCAGGAAGTCTCAGGGCCTTACTGATACCTTCACAAAAGCCAATTGTTTTGCTTGAACATTTTTTAAAATAGGAATCTCCACCCCCTAGTCTGTTTTTAGAGTGTGATTGTATTTAGTGTTCTTCAGTGATGAACTTTTTTCATTTGGAAATTTTTTTTCCAAAACTATTTTGACAAGTCTTTTTTTTTTTTTAAGTCTTTTATGTCAGAAAATATTTTATTTACTATTTTAGGAATTCCCTTAAGAGATTGGTGCTCCTTTTCCTTAACTGGTGATGAGTAAATTTGTGAATCTTTGGCATTAGTGATCAAAACCCTTTTATATAAAAAGAGGTTAAGCTATTTTGATTTACAAAAAATTCTGAGGCTTGGAGGATTTCTTTAATTTTCTAGATGCTGAATCAGGCTTGTAGATTGTTAGCTTAGTAGTGAAACTTGGATTGTGGGACTCTTGACTGTAATTGTTAGCAATTGTATTTCTTTGTAGATGAAAATGGGATGGTGTAATAACAGGGTAATGAGTCCTTTTGAAAAGCAAGTAGGAAGGGATTAGTCTGGTATGTACATTGCAAAGGTGGTGAAGTAGCTGTGATTTTTCTGGTGTTGGTACTTGAACATAAACAAGATTTTATTTATGAACACAGAAACTGAGGTATAGACAGCTACTCTGGTGTCACGGAGGTTCTGATGGATTGGAATTGTTAACTTAGATCAGGCATTTCCAATTAGGTTTTGAGCAGATTACAAATTCCATTTTGTTAGCTTACTTTTGACTTCAGAACATGAATTGGTTGTGAGATGTAGATGCTACTGTATATAGAACAATTATGAATTTCTCATGTCTTTTTGGAATGGGAACGATAAGGCACATGGAGTGACTTTTGGAATGATAGCTTTTGGCAGCAGTGGTTGCAGAAATGTGTCCTAACTGGTAACTGACGTACTTTGTATATACAAATGTCATTAAGGAAGGTACATGATATGCTTCCTAGTAACATTTGATTCTTTGTTGGTCTTGCAGAGAAACAGAAGACAGTAAATAGTGAGAGACAATATGGTGAAAGTAGCTAGGCTTGGGTGTAGACCAGATTGAAGGAGGAGGCCCTTCTCTGGTTCTCACTAGCTGAATGGGCACATCATAAAAATTGTGTGTGTGTATGTCTGTGCCTGTATGCTGGTCCCTAGGGTTGAACTTGGGGTGTAGGCACTTTCCTTGAGATTTTTTTTTTTTGTCGTTGGGCTTAAGCACTGTCCCTCAGCTCTCCAGCTTAAAGTGGGTGCTTTACCACTTGAGCCGCCACTTCTGGCTTTTTCTGTTTATGTGGTGCTTAGGAATCGAATCCAGGGTCTCATGCGTGCCAGGCAAGCACTCTACCACTGAGCTATCTTCTAATCCCTCCTTGAGCTTTTTGACTCAAGCTAGTGATCTAGCACTTAAGTCATAGTTCCACTTCTGGCTTTTCTTTTTCTTTCTTTCTTTTGGCCAGTCCTGGGGCTTGAACTCAGGGCCTAGGCACCGTCCCTGAGTTTCTTTTGCTCAGGGCTAGCACCCTACCATTTGAGCCACAACACCATTTCTGGCCTTTTCTGTTTATGTAGTACTAAGGAATCGAACCCAGGGCTTCATGCATGCTAGGTAAGCACTACCATTAAGCCATATTCCCAGCCCTACTTCTGGCTTTTTTTTTGTTTTTTGTTTTGGTCATGGGGCCTGAACTCTGGGCCTGGGTATTGTCCCTCAGCTCTTCAGCTCAAGGGTTAGCGCTCTACCACTTGAGCAGTCACAGTGTCACTTCTAGCTTTTTCTGCTTATGTGGTGCTGAGGAATAGAACCCAGGGCCTCATGCATGCAAGGCAAGCACTCTACCACTGAGCCACCTTCCTAGCCCCGACTTCTGGCTTTTTGATGGTTACTGGAGATAAGAGTTTCATGAACTGTCCTTCCCTGGCTGGCTTTGCACCATGATGCTTAGATCTCAGCCTCCCGAGTATCTAGGACAGGTGTGAGTCTCTAGCACCTGGCACACGTATAACTTAATTTTTTATTATTAAGTAGTTGTACAAAAAGTTAACAATTCTATTAAGTTATGAGTACGCTGCATCTCGATTAGTGTCACCTGGTCCATCATTTTTTCCATCTCCTTCATTTCCCCCCCTCCCATCCCTACTCTCAAATTATATAGTAGTTCAATTTTTACATAACAAACATGGACTATAATGACTGCATTTGTTCACTCCTTCCTCCAATCGTGTACTCATGATTGTGTACCCACGTGTACTCCCCCACGTTTCTACTTCCTGGTATTTTGTTAAACAGTTCATTAGTTGTTCAAAAGAGTTAAACCTTTGGACTTTTCCCCTGAGTATACCATCCTTTAGTCAGTTTGTGTCTATATGCATAAAAGCCTCTATATGTCATCACATCATACAACTTTTATATCTTAATGTATTCTCAGTAAAATGGGTATCATCTTTCAATGTCTTGTGATGAGACAATGTCTGTGCTATATTTGCTACACTCTTACTGTGGTGAGGTTTTTATAGTGAGGAGGTTTCTGTACTAGTAAAATGAGTGCATTTGGCTTGTCTCATCCCGTTTCTAGGAGTTGAAGCACTAATGGAATAATCATGTGATTACACTATGATTGTAAGTTATGGATAAATGTCTTGAATTTCGTTTTGTCCCTGTCAATAGCAACTGAGAAGAGGGTTAAACTAAGAACATTGTGGTGGTATGGTTAGCCAAAATGTCTAATTGTCTCTCAAAGACTATCCTCTGAGTATCTTGGACATTTTAAAGGGTCCTTTCAAGTTAGACAATCTGAGCCACTGTGTGTGTGTGTATTTAGTATATTATTATTATTATTGTTGTTGTTGTTATTATTATTGGGTGCTAGTCTTAGGGCTTGACTTCTGGGCTGAGGCACTATCCCTGAGCTTTTTTGCTCAAGACTAGTGCTCTACCACTTGAGCCACAGCTCCATATAAGTCATCTGTGCCCAGCTTGGTAATTACAGTTGAGGTTTAGGTTTTTGTTTTTTTATTGGCATATGTCTGTCCTGGCTATAAAGTTGTGATTTTTAAAAATTGCTATTTTTTTGTGCATGATGTTGGGAATGAGACCCAGGCCCTCCTGCTAATAAAGCATTCTAACTCATCAAGCTGCACCTTTAAGCCTGTGAAGTTATGAGTTAAATAAAGCTCCTTTTTCATTTAAAAACTATCAGCACAATTGGCTTAAAGAGAAAGTAAGTTTATAAGTTAAAAAGACATTGAAATTTATCTCAAGGCTAACACTCTACCACTTGAACCACAGCTCTTCTGGCTTTTTGGTGGCTAATTGGAGATAAGAGTTTCACAGGGGGCTGGGAAGGTGGCTCAGTGGTAGAGTACTTGCCTCTCATGCATGAACACTGGGTTCAATTCCCCAGTACCACACAAACAGAAAAAGCTCTGTGGCTCAAGTGGTAGAGTGCTCACTGTAAGCTGAAGAGCTGAGGGACAGTGCTCAGGCCCAGAATTCAAGGCTCCCCCCCCCCGCCCCCCGCCAAAAAAAAAAAGTTTCACAGACTTTTCCTGCCCTGGCTGGCTTTGAACTGTAGACCTCAGATCTCAGCCTGAGTAGCTAGGATTACAGGTGTGAGTCACTGGTGCCTGGGCTCAGATTTCAATGTCTTGCCAGAGTACCTGTTACCAGTAACTTTCATTTCCATATACTCAGATTTAGTAGCTTAAAAGTGGAGTTTTCAGTTTAGGAAATTGTATGTTTGTTTATAGTACACTGAGCTGCTCAGTAGAAACTGTTAATGTGCAATTGTATTACAGAAGAAATGAAATTCCTAGTTGTCCCCCCTTCCCCCAAGTCATGGGGCCTGAACTCTGGGCCTGGGCACTGTCCCTCAGTTCTTCAGCTCAAGGCGAGTGCTCTACCACTTGAGCCACAGTGCCACTCCTGGCTTTTTCTGCTTATGTGGTGCTGAGGAATGGAACCCAGGGCCTCTTGCATGCAAGGCAAGCACTCTACCACTGAGCCACCTTCCCAGCCCCTGAAATTCCTAGTTGTATTGGTACATACCAACTTACTTAAAATGTGAATATTAAACATTTGTAACCTGTTTGTCCTCAGGTGTTGGTGGAATGAGCGTTGCATGTGTCTTGAAGAGAAAAGCAGTGCTTTGGCAGGACTCTTTCAGCCCCCACCTGAAACATCACCCTCAAGAAACAGCTAATCCCAACATGCCTGTTGTTTTGACATCTGGAACAGGGTCGCAAGCGCAGCCACAGCCTGCTGCAAATCAGGCTCTTGCAGCTGGGACACACTCCAGCCCTGTCCCAGGATCCATAGGAGTTGCAGGCCGTTCCCAGGACGACGCTATGGTGGACTACTTCTTTCAGAGGCAGCATGGTGAGCAGCTTGGGGGAGGAGGAAGTGGTGGAGGCGGCTATAATAATAGCAAACATCGATGGCCTACTGGGGATAACATTCATGCAGAACATCAGGTAAAAAAAGTTCACTATTTCAGCTTTGAAACTCTTATAATCACTGTTCACTTCCAGTGAATGTCTTTAAAGTTTAAATTGTTAATTTAGTTTGGTCTAAACAAATGAGTCACTTGTTTTAAGAAATGATGATTGTAATATTGTGATTGGATATTTACCATTCTGCTGCAACATTGTAAATAGCCAATTTGTTTAATGTGCACACTATATTCCAGAGATATTTGTTTAACAAAAAATATTTCCCCCCTGCCATATTAGCATGCCTTTTAAGAATTGTTTGGGTTGCTTATAGGAAAATACATATATTAAAGTCTTCTCTGTTGGCTTTTGGTGATTTTATTTATTTTTGTGCTTGTTGCTGGCCTAGACTCAGGCCTTTGCACTCTCATTTGGCTTTCTTGCTGATGTTTTACCAGTTGAACCATGCCTCCATTCCAACATTTTACTGGTTAATTGGAGATGTAGTCTTGCAGACTTTTCTGTCTGTACTGGTTTCAGGCATGATCCTTGAGGTTTCAGACTCCTTTTTTTTTTGGGGTCCGGTCATGGGGCCTGAACTCTGGGCCTGGGCGCTGTCCCTCAGCTCTTCAGCTCAAGGCTAGTGCTCTACCACTTGAGCCACAGCACCACTTCTGGCTTTTTTCTTTTTGCTTATGTGGTGCTGAGGAATCAAACCCAGGGCCTCAGGCATGCAAGGCAAGTGCTCTACCACTGATCCACCTTCCCAGCCCTTCAGACTCCTTTTTAGCTAACATTAAGGGCATTAGCCATTGGTCCCCTGGTAGTTAGCTTATTTATTACTTTAAACATTAAGAGCTGAAAGAGCCAGGTACTGGTGGCTCATGTCTGTAATGAATCCTAGCTACTCAGGAGGCTGAGATTTGAGGATCTCAGTTTGAAGCCAGCTGGGGCAGGAAAGGCCATGAGACTCTTGTAGAGAGCTAGCCAAAAAAGCTTATAGGCACTGAGTTTAAGTCCCAGGACAGGGGAAAAAAAAAAGAGTTGAAAGTAGTGATAAGAAGTCATCTTCTCCGGGTTGGGAAGGTGGCTCAGTGGTAGAGTGCTTGCCTTGCATGCATGAGGCCCTGGGTTCTATTCCCCAGCACCACATAAGACAAAAGGAAAAAAGGGCTGGGATGTAGCTCAGTGGCAAAGCGCTTGCCTAGCAAGTGCAACGTCCTGGGTTCGATCCCCTGTACCAAAAAAGAAAAGACAAAAAAAAATAAAGTTAAACAAAAGCCCAAACGAAAAAAGGAAAAAAGCTGGAAGTGGTGCTGTGGCTCAAGTGGTAGAGCGCTAGCCTTGAGCTGAAGAGCTTAGGGACAGTGCCCAGGCTCAGAGTACAGGCCTCACGACCGGACCCAAAAAACCCAAAAACAAACAAAAAACAACTGAAGTGAAAAATTGAACCAGTAGGAAGGACTAGTTGTGCCTTTTAGTGCGTTTTTTTCTTTTCCCACCAGTCATGGGGCTTGAACTCAGGGCCTGGGTCCCAGTGCTTTTTTTTTTTTTTGCTTAAGGCTAGTGCTGGACCACTTGATTCACAGCTCTATTTCTGGCTTTTTGGTGATTAATTGAAGATAAGAGTCTCTCATGGTCTTTCCTGCCCAGCCTGGCTTCAAACTGTGATCCTTAGATCTCAGCCTCCTGAGTAGCTAAGAGTACTGGTGTGAGCCACTGACACCTAGAAGTTCTAGTTAATTTTTTTTTTTTTTTTTAAATCTGTCTTGGGGCCTGAATTCTGAGCCTGGGCGCTGTCCCTGAGCTCTTCAGCTCAAGGCAAGTGCTCTTCCACTTTGAGCCACAGCACTACTTCTGGCTTTTTCTGCTTATGTGGTGCTGAGGAATTGAACCCAGGGCCTCATTTTTATTTTATAAAAATAAAATTTTATTTATTTATTTATTTTTTTGGGTCCGGTCGTGGGGCCTGAACTCTGGGCCTGGGTGCTGTCCCTCAGCTCTTCAGCTCAAGGCTAGCGCTCTACCACTTGAGCCACAGTGCCACTTGCTACTTTTTTCTTTTTGCTTTTGTGGTGCTGAGGAATCGAACCCAGGGCCTCATGCATGCAAGGCAAGCACTCTACCACTGAGCCACCTTCCCAGCCCCATCTAGTTAATTTTTAATGTTTCTCTTTCCCTTTCCCCTTCGTTTTGTGGTTCTGGGGATCCAGGTAGCCCAGGTACCTAGGGTTTTACCACTTGAGCTATATATCTTCTAGTCCTTGTGGATTCATTTTTTTTTTTTTAAAGAGATACAAGTTATCAGTTGCTGAGCCACTTATTCAAGGCCTCCCCACCCCTTTTTGTTTTGTGGGTCATGGGGCTTGAACTCTGGGCTTGGGCGCTGTCCCTCAGCTCTTCAGCTCAAAGCGAGGGCTCTACCTTCAGCCCTTTTTTGTGCTGGCTATTTTATTTATTTATTTTATTTTATTTTGGGTCCGGTTGTGGGGCCTGAACTCTGGGCCTGGGCGCTGTCCCTCAGCTCTTCAGCTCAAGGCTAGTGCTCTACCACTTGAGCCATAGTGCCACTTCTGGCTTTTTTCTTTTTTCTTATATGGTGCTGAGGAATTGAACCCAGGGCCTCAGGCATGCAAGGCAAGTGCTCTACCACTGTGCCACCTTCCCAACCCCTTTATTTATTTTTTGTTGGTCATGGGGCTTGAACTCAGGGCTTGGGATCTGTCCCTAGGCTCTTTTGCTTAAGGCTTTTACTTTACAACTTTGAGCTACAGCTCTGGTTTTCTGGTAGTTAATTGGAGATGAGTTTCTCATGGACTTTCCTGCTCGGGCTGGCTTTAAACTGTAATCTTCAGATCTCAGCCTGCTGAGTAGCTAGGTTACAGATGTGAGCCACCAGTGCCTGCCCAACTTTTGTGCTGGTTATTTTTCAGATAGACTCTTGTTTCCTGTTATGGTACATGTGTGGACAGTGATCTTTTTGGATTTTTTTTACTTCTGACTATACCTGCATGACATGTCATCATATCTTCTTGCTGAGGCAGTCTTTTCTGCTAGAGTAGTCTTCAAATTGAAGTCCTCCCATCTCAGCCTTCCAGGTATCTGTAATTACTGGCATAAACCATTTGTGCCTGACTTGTTTTTGAGACTGGGTCTCAAAGAGACAGTAAGATTGTCTATCTCTGTCTCTCAAAAAGCTGGGATTATGGGAGTGTACCACCATGCCCAATCTTAATTTAAACCTCTTTAATCTTATCCAAAATCAAAGTTGGAGTCTGACTATATTTTACAAGAGTTTGGTTTGATCAGTGTTTCCTGATGAAAGGGTACTCAGATTATTAGAAATTGGGTGTAGGTTAAATTGGCAAAGATTTATTTGATGCCAGTCTGAGTGCTGATTAGCAAAAAGAATGAACATCTTGGGGCTGGGAAGGTGGCTCAGTGGTAGAGCGCTTGCCTTGCATGCATGAGGCCCTGCGTTCGATTCCTCAGCAACACATAAGCAGAGAGAGGGAAGTGGTGCTGTGGCTCAAGTGGTAGAGCGCTAGCCTTGAGCTGAAGAGCTGAGGGACAGAGCCCAGACCCTGAGTTCAGGGCCATGACCGACCAAACAAAAAAAAAGGAATGAACATCTTTCACTAATCTTCTGTTTTTCCTTCTGCTTCAAAAACAGCCATTTAAGCACACCTGTGAATCTGAGTTCTCAGTTGTGCTTTCCTTGATCCTTCCAGAATGCCCAATGACCATTTTTTTTTTTTGTTTTGTTGGTCATAGGGCTTGAACTCTGACCCTGGCGCTGTCCCTGAGCTCTTCAGCTCAAGGCTAGGGCTCTTATCACTTGAGCCACAGCACCACTTCAGACCCTATTTTTTTTTTAACCATAGTAGAAACAAAGCAAATTTATTTTCTTGCCCCTGTTTTTACTAGTTTCTTTTTACCTTTTCAGCCCCTCCAGCTCCCACCTCTATCTCCTCACTAACAACATTTTGTTTTTCTTTTGCTGCTGCTGTGCCACCACTGAACTGCTGCTGAGCTGAATCTCCCAAGTCTTTCACTGGCACAACCCTCCGAATCAGTACAGCTTCATAAACATGTACAGGCCAGGGGTGCTCAGAAGTAGGTACTGGGAGCTTCTAGCACCTGGACATTTTATGTTTATTATGTACTTAGGGCATTGCATTAATTTCTTGTTAAAGTCTTTTTTCTTTCTCCTTCTCTCTTATTTTGGGGTAGGGGGTGGGGAAGTCAGTCAGGGGGCTTGAACTCAGGGCCTAGGCGCTGTCTGAGCTCTTTTGCTCAAGGCTAGTGCTCTACCACATTGAGCCATAGCACCACTTCTGGCTTTTTTGGGGGTCCGGTCGTGGGCCTGAACTCTGGGCCTGGGCACTGTCCCTCAGCTCTTCAGCTCAAGGCTAGTGCTCTACCACTTGAGCCACAGCGCCACTTCCGGCTTTTTTTTTCCTGCTTATGTGGTGCTGAGGAATCGAACCCAGGGCCTCATGCATGCAAGGCAAGTGCTCTACCACTGAGCCACCTTCCCAGCCCCAACTTCTGGCTTTTTTGGTGGTTAATTGTTGATAGGAATTTCACAGACAGATTTTACTGCTTGTGCTGGCTTTGAACTGTGATCCTCAGATCTCAGCTTCCTGAGTAGCTAGGATTACAAGCATGAGCCACCAGTGTCTGGCTTTTATTTTCTTTTGGTGCTTCTGGGAATCGACCATTGATTGCTAAGAGTTCTACCACTGAGCCTTTTTTTTTTTTCTTTTTTTCTTATACCAGTCATGTCAGATCTGTTAGAAAGCAGAAATAAAGGGAAAGAAAAGCATGGAACTGAGATGTGAAGAGTTGTTGGTTGAATTAGAAAGTTTGGGTATGGGAAAGTGATGTAATGGGATACAGAGGGTGCCCAGGGCATAGGTGATTAAAGTTGGTAGTATATGTGTTGGATTTGAAGTGAAGTTGAATAAGCTATACTGTAGGCAGTTGCTATAGGGAAATCAAGGTAGGAAGGTATCAGGGGCAAAGTAGAAAGCCTGTTA